GGGGGGCGTGAGCGAGGCGCTGCGGGCTGCCCGCGTCGCCCCCACAAACGCGGGTGGGTTCAGCCACGTTCTGGGCATCGGGTAAGCGTCCCACGCGACTTGGCTTGTGTTTCTGGAGATGTCTTTGACGCGTGGAAGTCCCGGGTGATGGGGGAGACGGCGTCGTGCTGTTTGGACTGGAAAAATTTCTCATTTACCGTTGCCGGTTTGCATTTTCGCAAAGCCCGGGGCCGGCGGAGAGCGTCCCAAGCCCGGGTGGGCGTCCCGGGGACGGCCATCGCCGCGGCGCTCCTGGCCATCCAGCGTTTCTCCACCCGCGTTGCATCTCTGCCCTCCCGCTGGCGGCCGGTGCCGCGGCTGAGCCTGAGCCGCTCTGCCTCGGAGCAGAAGCAGCGCCGGTGACATTACTGGGGTGGTCCTCCCGCGGCCTCCCCCGTTTCCCGGGATCCTTTTTCCCTCGGTGCTGGTTCGCTTAGGTGCTGCCCCCGCTGTGCTCGTGTCCCTTCCCGTTCCTCCTGTCCAGCGCTGGCCCCGCCGGCCTCACGTCTTCCGCCAAGGCTCGTTTCGGGGGGCAAGAGCTAGGGCAGACCCCGACCTTGGAGGTCTTGCCGCTAATGCAAGACACGGCCGTGGGACGTTTCCAGGCTCGCGCGCGGGAGGACGTTGTTGGCCGTACTTTTGCTGCTCTAGTGTCTAAACCTTGCGTTTTTCACGTAAGCAGTGCTTTTGGCAACATGACCAAATTATCGCTGCATATATTATGTCTCAGCAGCCCCTTGATATTCATTCCAGTAGTTCAGACCTTGACGTACTGCCCGTCTGTGTTGACAAAGGATTTTGTCTTAAATTGCTTTCGCTCCTGGAGTCCTGCTTAAAAAAAATTTTTTTTTTTCCCCCCCTCCTTTTAATGTGCGAATTTCTGGCGGTCCAATTAACCTGGAAGACTAAATCTTGCTCGTCAGCAATGAAAGCCGCGCAGCTTGATCCCGTCGAATAAACCTTGGTAGGGAAGCCCAGTTACGTGCCGTTTCGTAAGCCCGTTCGCTCACAAACACTTTCTGCTGCCAAACCGCTTCGTTATGCCATCGCCCGCCTTTCTCAGAGTATCGGGAGGAGTTAAGGCCCTAAAAAGTTCCTTTTGCTTTCGCTCGGCAACTTCACTGCGAGGCTGGTGGCTCCCCAGAGCGTCGCCGCAAGGCCAGAGCGCCACGCGTTGAGCCCTTCTCCCGGTTTAAGCTGTGCTTTTCGGCTGTTGTTTTTGCCTTCCCGCTCTCCCGCTGGCGGTTGTGCTTAGAGGGGCGGCTGTCTCCCACAGCGCCTTAAAATAGATGTTGCTGCTTCTATATTAGACTTTATGTAAGCGTCTTTGTTTCTGCGCGGCGGGAACGGTGACAAAAGGATGTGGCGATGGAGCAGAGAAGAAGCTGGAAGAATCAGCGCCTAGGAAGAGAAGTGCCTCGTCTGGAAGGGCTCGCTGCGGGCGAGGAGGCGGGCTGCCCAAGCTGGGAAAAGAGGAATACTTCGTAGTGCAGGCAGGGCAAACAGCCCCTTTCCGATAGGCATCCCGTATCTGGCCGGCCCTGCACAACCCGGGGCTAAGCAGGTCCGTAAGGACAGAGGTAGCTAGGACTTCACCCCAGATCTCTAACTCGTCTCAGAAACGAAGGTCAGCCCCCGAAGGAAGGGGGTTTTGCCGGGGCGGGCGACGGGGTTCTGCTCCCTCTGCGCCCCCCGAGTCGGACACGCGTTGCTGCTTTGGATGGGCCGCGGGGCCCAGCCCCGGCCCCACAGACCTCCCCCGAGGGGAGATTTCTGGAGCCGGAAGAAACTGTCCGTCTGCTGCGTAAGGCTGAACGCGCAGGCTCGACTTTGCCCTGTGCAGCCTGGGAAGCACTTTGGGCAAAGGAATGATTAATGTTGCTTAATTAAACCATATTCACTGAAATAGCACGTTCTGCGATTCAGTTTGTCTCTCGGGTTCCCTGTTTTGTGCAGCATTTTCTCCTCGGAGATATATATATATATATATTTTTTGGTAATGATTTTACGACCCAGAAAATCCGAGATCCCATTTCACGGCTGGCTCTGCTCTGTCCTGCTGGTGCTTTTATTCCCTCCGCAGGGAAATCTCTTTGTACAGCCAATGCCTCTGCTCCTGCTCAAATTAATAGGGCCAGGTCTGAAGGGAGGATGATAATGTTTTCCCTTTCCTGCCCGGTTTATAAGCATGTTAATTTTTCAGTAGTTTATGGCAAAACTTGTGCTCGTGGTCACTCTTTGTACTGACCTAGAAGATTTCCGCCCTTGCAGGAGGCCATTGCTATTAGTTGCGTTGTGTCGGGGGCTCTTCCTAAGATTAGGCTAGCCAGAAAAACAGCAGTAGGGTCTGCTGGCTTTCTCCCTGGCAAACGCCACGGTAATACAGGCGATGGCTGGCGATCCCCTTTTGGAAGGGCTAGCTGATTCCCGTCTGTGGGCTGTTTTCTCCACGCTGTCGTCTTGAGCCTAAATATAATCTCCTTCCCACGCAGGAAGCTTGCTTCCAAAAGAAAAAAAGAGTAAATCACTTGTTTCAGAAGCACAGGACTGCGAAGCGTAGCTCAGGTGGCGTTACCGATGCCGGAGACGCTAGCCGGGCTCGTTGCACTGCTCTTGTTGTTGTATTTTTCCTGCTGGGGACTTGTCCTGTGTTGGCTCCATGCTCTCTGCTTTCTTCTGCGAGGGAGGTGGGGAAGAAGTGGATCGCTCAAAGCATCTGATGCCTGGTTTTTGTGTTGTCTTTATTTTCACTCCAAAGCCAAACAACGTGGATAATAAATAAAACCAATCGAAGGAGGCGTCTGCTCTGGCAGGAGCCTCAGAAAAACAGGGTCTCGGCGTTGCTGGCCCAACAAAGTCCGGCCTTCAGCCGCCCCGTCCGGCGGCGGCAGGTCCTCCTCCGCCCGGCGGGTGCAGGGGGGCACTGAAACACCCCGCCATGGTCCAAGGGGTGGTCCTGGTCGTAGCGGCTTCACTGAAACAAATAAAGACACCTTCAAGTCAAACAACATAGTAAAAATGCATCTCTCTCTCTCTTTTCTTTCTAGATTTTCAGAAGAGCTGACAAAAATGGTAAGTCTGTATCTTTACATTTCACTTTTTTTGATCGAAACGTTGTCAGTATTACTGTGGTTTTTTTTTTTCAGAGAATAACATCTAACCGTGTTGTTTTAAGCGTCTTTCAGTTTACCGAGTCTGACGCTGATACGGTTTGAGCCTCGGCAAAGGTTTTGTGGTATTCGTGTGGCTGAGGCATTCTTAGCGCGGACGTGATGCTCGCGTGCAAGATCTGCCAGATCTGGGGCAATTTCACATTAAAAAAAAAAAAAAAATCACAGCTAAGCAATAACAGAGGATCCATCTATTGGTACTCTTGGAATAGCTTTGCAAAACAGACCTGGTTTGCGAAGACGAGGAGTTGGCTGGTTCCTGGAGGGTTGTTGGACGCTTGCATCAAGGAGCAGCGTGTCCTCATGGGTGTTTTCAGCTTCTGCCTGTCCAAAGCTGCGCAACGTCATTGGAGCCTAGTGGCGGCCTTAGATGGGGAATAACACAGAGGGGTCTTGATGATGTGATTTGGGGTCCCTGAAGGAGAGACAGTTACGGGGAAAGAGGCGAGGGGGTCAGTCCCAGGAACAACTCCATCCACCCGAAAAGCAGTTTCATTTTGGCTCCTGGCTAAAATCTGCAGGCCCACCCTCTGCCCTTTCCCTGTTGTACGGCAGGAAAATTAAATCCGCGTCAAAACTATGTGCATTTGCGGAGGGACGCGTGGGGGTGTTGTACAGCAGAGAGGATATCTAACTTTCCCATTCCTGATTTAAAGAGGAGATGCCTGGTCTCCCAAATGAGCTTGTAGGTGAGATGGCCGCTCCCAGGTAGAGCGGTGAAGGCTACTGCGAGCCAGCTGCCGTATACGCAGTAAATGCCCGGTTATAGCAAGTAGCGCTTAACGGGGAGGAACGCCCTGGTGCCCTCGACAGCCGGAATAACGCGCTTCGCAGCCCCGTAACCGCTTAACCGTTGCGTAATCGGAGAGCGGTGGGTTTTGTCTGATGAGACGTTCGCAGGTGCCTCTGAGAGAGGCCACCTGCGTGCTCACTGCTGGCCCTTTGCTCGGCCAGCTTTTAGCCGAGCCTTACCCGCCGCTCGCTCCGCGTCAGGAGGAGTCGTTCTGGTGAGGTTTTTACTCGGCGGTTGTCAACGTCTTTGTTGCCTGCGGACGCCGAGCCAAATTCTAGGCGTAGTTCTTCGCATCGCGTTTGGAAGTTGTTGGTGCTGCTCCAAAGTTAGGCTCCTCGCTAAGCCCGTGTTTAGCCTCCGGCCTGCAGGAGGCGACTTCCAAACTTCCAGGCTGGAGCTTCCGAGTTTCCCCCCTGGGCACAGCAGCTGAAAGCCAAGGCAGTGACTTGCGTCAGCAACGCCTGTTACTCCGTTGCGCCAAGCGTGAACGGATGCGGTTATGTTCAGTGGCTGCTTTTCGACCCCATCCGAATGGGGCTGGGCTTCTGTTTCAGTCGAATGCGGTTACTTTTATCACCGCCGCGATGGGACTGAGGAATGGGAACCGGGAGAAGGACAAAACCTTGCTGATATTTTGTCTGGAGGCGTGAAGAGAGCAGCGTGGCAGTTGTTCCCGCCGCTTTGGCGTTCCCTTTTCATCGCAGCGGAGCGGAGGGACCCTGCTGCCTGGCAGGGGAAGTCAGTCGTGGTTTTGGACCATATCACAAGGTCATGGCGGATTCACTTTTTGCGGTCCCTCACCACAGGGACAGGTCTCTATTTGGCAGGTGCCAGTGGCAGGGCGCAAGCCTGTGGTAACCTGGGAGAAGGATGGGCTGTAGCCGTTGGCCTTGCTCGGTCCTCTCCAGCGGTGGAGCACCTGAGAAGGAAGATTTACCTGTTGAAAGCTGGTGCTTTTTGCGGGCCGGTTCACTTCCTACTGCTGAAGCTCATCCGAGCCTTCTGCTTTTGTAACCTTACATTTTTTTGTAACCTTATACCTTATGCTCTGTTACTAATGACAACAGGCAAAAACTCATCTACCAGCATTTTAGCATGAATAGCAGGCGGAGGCCAAACAAGGTATTTCCATTAGCAAGGGCAAACCTGTTGTTTTCCCCTGGTCCCTGAAACGCTGCCCTCGTCTCAGGGCAAACAAGCCCAGCTCCTCCACCGTCGTCTCGCTCGCTGCCGTTT